GGCTGAATTCAGCTTATTCGGATAACGTCAATAAGAAGCTGTGAATAAGAAGCTGGATTCAGCCTCGTCAATATTTATAACAAAAACCCCTCAAATGTGTCTTTAATGACATGTTGTCAAATGGATAATCATTCAGTAATGATACTCACACAAAACTTGATTCATTTCAATATGGACGTCACTAAAAATAATGACAACTAGTAGAGGTGGTCACGTTGGTTATGTTGATGGAAGTTAGCCTATTTTCAGGTATATCTGCAGCTGAATGGATTCGAAAACGGTAAAACTCAACTGTTTAACTCTAGGGGAGTTGGATCGGACGGAACGGCATCTTTAAAAAGACGCGAGCCATCCTTGATGAGAAACTGCTCTTTTAGTTGAAGCACCCAGGGGAATCGCTGAATCACCAGGGACACCGCCGTTCGTGCCGTCACGCCAACCAGGGAGAGCTTCTTTCTTCCAGTAGGATCAGAAAGGCTTTGTGGAGAAGAAATCATTCACCCACTCGGCTCCTCAGCATAAAACCTGAATGAGTGGATGCACCTGTTGCCTATTTATACCCATATGCACGGGAAGTGGCTCAGGTATGCAAAATCCACTAGCCAAATTTCATTGTCGTTTTCTCTGAAAGTCAGAACGGATTGGGGCTCTCAAGTAAACCCCCTATGTTGTCATGACATAATTCATAGTGACCGACAGATAGGGAACCATGGTTAATTTAAAACATTAAAGGGGTCATATGATGCGATTTCAATTGTTCCTTTCTCTTTGGAGTGTTACAAGCTCTTGGTGCATAAAGAAGATCTGTAAAGTTGCAAAGACTAAAGTCTCAAATCCAAAGAGTTATTCTTTATAAAAGTTAAGAGTCAACCACGCCTACCTAAAACCCGCCGCCGCCATGTTGTGAAGGCGCTGTGTGTTTCGTTGTGAAAGTGAAACTACTTTGTTTGGTCTTCCAAAAGAGGACACGACTAGAAATCAGTGGTAAAGTTGTATTTACAACACTGTAAAAACATCCAGAACAGTTCAACCCAAATATTAATTTGTGTGCAGCACATTTTTCCTGATCCTGGGAGAGTAGACTACAATGCCGGCTGTTCTGACTCACAGACTGTAACTCACAGACTGTTTCATTTAAAGGATTTGCCACTGATGATCCAAACGCGTCACAAATGCAGACATGGTTTTATGTTTACGCGGCGCGATGCAATGCAACGCGTAAAAGACAGTATAAGTCATTATAATCCGTAATTATGTCCCCACTGGATGCAACAAATGCCTCGTTTATAATGGGTTTTAATGTTTTTGTCTCTTCGCTTCGCCGGACAGGGCATCACAGTATGGTAAGGGGAGTAACAACGCACAACGCACTGGATAGCGGGCCAATCAGAGCACACCTCGCTTTTCAGAACGATGAACTTTGTAAAAATCGACGTTATCATCAGCGAGTAGCAGTGAACTCGAGACAACATCCTCCCACGGGCCACGTCTCCGGTTCTTCTGTCAGAGAAACACAGATTACAGCATGCGGACCAGAACACGAGCCTTGCTCCATTACAGGCACACAATGAAAACACGTCCGGAAGCTCGCTCTTTCTACCCTCATGGAAAAACATCCATCTTTTGCCAAATAATGTGTTTTTTGAACTTTAAACCGCATAAACACATTTCATTACACCAAATATACAAAATAATGTTCTTTTTAGCAACATCATATGACCCCTTTAAGGGAACATAAAAAAGTTAATAAACTGAACGTTTTAAATGTTCAGAGGACATAACATTTTCATAACTTAATGGGAACATTAGCAAAATGTTCTTAGAACATATTTTGTTGGCTCTATTCAACGATTTGTGCAACATTATCGCTCAAAAATGTCAATATATGTTTCCCTGTGGCAGTTTACATGTATTATTAAAAATATATAATGGTAATTATTGTTACTTCTGCTATGTATTGTTATATTGGTGGATATAAATGAAAATTATTAAATATGATTATTCCTTGTGTTAATTTACTGACAAACAGTAGAAAACCTCTTGATTGTTTTACAGTGAGTGTTTGGTTGAAATGAAGCATCCTCTGATTGGAAAACAGGGGAATTTGAGAATAATATGGAGAAAATATTTTCACCATATAATATTCAAAAGGTGTTTTTTTCACATGATTCATACTTGAGGCGTTCTGTAAACCTACTATTTCATTTAAGAAGCACAGAAAAGAAAATCCCCTTCACCAGAGCTTGAGTTCCCCAGCCGAACCCTGAGGATATTCTTCTGATAATGACCTGCTCTCTACAGACTCCTGCTCTCTACTCTCAGATTCATCCGACTGGGTGCTAATTACGCTAAAGTCAGAAGACAGCACAGACAGAAATGTACATCTACCCCAGGATATTCATTATAATGAGCGTACACATTTCTCCAGCTTATTAAGGGTGGCGGAAGTCAGTTATCATCAGCGAGTAGCAGTGAACTCGAGACAACATCCTCCCACGGGCCACGTCTCCGGTTCTTCTGTCAGAGAAACACAGATTACAGCATGCGGACCAGAACACGAGCCTTGCTCCATTACAGGCACACAATGAAAACACGTCCGGAAGCCCGCTCTTACCCTCATGGAAAAGCATCCATCTTTTGCCAGGCGACAGGGTTGCTTGTCATTACAGGGCTCCCTGTGGCAGCTGTGATGAAAGACGTGTGCATTCCCAGAAGTCTGTGGGCCAGAGAGACAGCAGATCTGAGGAGGACGCTGACTGTAGTTCACAGCTCAACATGCCATGTTCTCCCTACAAGCTGCATTTCTATGCATTACAAAGAAAACTGCTTCAGAATAACAAACTAGTCATACTATTTCGTATTGCATTTAGCAGATACTTTTATCCAAAGTGGCTCGCATTTCTGCATTTCTGATGAGCATTTAACTGTTTATGCATGGGAATCTAACCCATGATGTGAACATGCAACCTGACGAAGTCATGAAACAACAACTTTTATTGTTTAGGTAATTATAGTATTGCTAGTTGTACCTCTTCTGCCATTTGTTAACCCTTTTGAGGGTAAATGGGTTTCTCACACTTCCTTTCAGTGTTGCAACAGTCTAGTAATTGTGATCCAAAAAAACTAACAACCAAAAAACAACTTTTGAGAGATTTTTTTTTTTTTACTGTGAAACAACTCAATAAAGAAAGTGAATTTTCCTTGAATAATTCAGAAGACGAGTCTCAATTTCAAAGAAAACTTTGAGTCTTAAATTTCATATGTTCTCATTTATTTCATTTTTTAGTGTTTGACAAGCTACAATAAAGGTTTTCTCTTTTTTATCTGACTCCTTAGTGTTTTTCAAAGTGTTGATGTTTGGCTAATTGCATGAAAACCAAGGGGGGTCAAATTGACCACAACTCAAATGTAGTACTAAATTTTGTACAGTCTTTCCAAAACACATATATGTGTTGAAACTTTGCATGCATGACCCTCATGACCCTAAATGAAAATCACCAAATTTCAAGACGAAATCAATAGTTTAACTAGTATTTTGAGTAGTATGAAAATCAAGTGTGGGGCAATTTGACCCCAACACAAAAGTTGTAATAAATTTTGTACAGCTTTTCCAAAACACATCTATGTGTCTAAACTTTGCATGTACATTCACAACCCTAAATGAAAAATATTCACCAAATTTCACAAAGAAATAATTTGTTTACCTAGTATTTTCAGCAGTTGGAAAATCGAATGTGGGTCAAATTGACTGCAACATAAAAGTTGTAACAATTTTTGTACAGCCTTTCTAAAACACATCTATGTGCTGAAACTTTGCATGCACATTCATGACCCTAAATGAAAAATATTCACCAAATTTCAATGAAAAATAAATAGTTTATCCAATATTTCAAGCAGTTTGAAAATCAACTGCTGGGCAATTTGACCCCAACACAAAAGTTGTAATAAATTTTGTACAGCTTTTCCAAAACACATCTATGTGTCTAAACTTTGCATGTACATTCACAACCCTAAATGAAAAATATTCACCAAATTTCACAAAGAAATAATTTGTTTACCTAGTATTTTCAGCAGTTGGAAAATCGAATGTGGGTCAAATTGACTGCAACATAAAAGTTGTAACAATTTTTGTACAGCCTTTCTAAAACACATCTATGTGCTGAAACTTTGCATGCACATTCATGACCCTAAATGAAAAATATTCACCAAATTTCAATGAAAAATAAATAGTTTATCCAATATTTCAAGCAGTTTGAAAATCAACTGCTGGGCAATTTGACCCCAACACAAAAGTTGTAATAAATTTTGTACAGCTTTTCCAAAACACATCTATGTGTCTAAACTTTGCATGTACATTCACAACCCTAAATGAAAAATATTCACCAAATTTCACAAAGAAATAATTTGTTTATCTAGTATTTTCAGCAGTTGGAAAATCGAATGTGGGTCAAATTGACTGCAACATAAAAGTTGTAACAATTTTTGTACAGCCTTTCTAAAACACATCTATGTGCTGAAACTTTGCATGCACATTCATGACCCTAAATGAAAAATATTCACCAAATTTCAATGAAAAATAAATAGTTTATCCAATATTTCAAGCAGTTTCAAAATCAACTGCTGGGCAATTTGACCCCAACACAAAAGTTGTAATAAATTTTGTACAGCCTTTCCAAAACACATCTTTGTGTTGAAAAATTGCATGCACATTCATGACCCTAAATGAAGAATATTCTCCAAACTTAAAGAAAAAAAAAAGTTTTAGCTGCATTTTGAGCAGTTTGAAAATTGAGTGTCGGTCAAACTGACCGCAACATAAAAGTTGTAGCAATTTTGTAGAGGCTTTCCAAAACACATAAATGTATTGAAACTGTACATGCCCATTCATGACCCTAAATGAAAACTATTCACCAAATCTCAAGAAGAAATAAATAGTTTAACAGTATTTCAAGCAGTTTTGTACCTGAGGCTGCAGTTTATTGGACCTCCTGAACACTGCGGTTGTTCTGAAAGGGTCATCTGGACAAAAACTGAGGCTGGACGGAAGGACGTTCTGTTGTTGTTTGTATACCTTGAACAGGAAAAAGTAAACAAATGTACAATTCTGATCCCACACAAATTTTACACATCGCATAAGTGTCAGACGCAGGGAATTCGATTGCATCAGGAACATTTTGATGTGCAACTGTCTTACGGCAGCCATCGGTTTTGCTTTATGAAATCTTCAGACATCTGCATGTCAAAGGAAGGTGAACACGAAGAGGACATTTCCACAGAATCAAATACCTGTTATATCTCAGTACACATGAATGGGAGTGGTTCATAAACACACGCACAACAGAATTCCTGCATGTTCGGTCCATGCGGGCAAACTGTATATGTGTTGTGATGTTGACTGCATTGCACACATAAACTCAAAAGAAAACCTATAATGTGTAAAAGTGCAAAAACTGTAACCAGTGGACATGTTTGTTTGTTTATAAGCACAATAAACATTAGTTGACATTTCTGTAAATGTATCAGGATAAGCCAGCTGGCTAATTTCCAAGGAGATAAAGAGAACAAATAATAAAAATAAATAAATGCATACATACATACATACATAACAATATACTATTATATAATTATAACTATTATACTATTATATATATAATACTATTATACCTTTTCTTAACATTTTGAATGATTTATTTATTTATTTTAGTTTTATTATTTCTGTTGTTTTTGTTATTTTTATAAGTTTTTAAAAATATGTCTAAATAGTTTTTTCTTCATTTTTATTTAAGTTTTAATTCATTTTAATTTTAGTTTTATTGTTTTTGTCATTTTAGTAGTTTTCTAAATATCTCTATATAGTTTAAAAATATATATGTATTTAATTTTATTTCAGTTAAAGTATATTTCAAGTAACAAGTAATTTAAAAAAAAATGTTTTAGCTTTAGTTAACTATAATAACCTGGACATGCAACCAGATTATTTTGGAGATTGTGAACAGTAAAAATCTACATATTTGAATCTTTCATTAAAAATCAAATTTTTTTAATTCTTTGGACTAATGTGCACAAATTAATTGTTCACAATACAAATGAGCAATAAGAAATCTGTTAAATTTAGATTTCATATAGACTTTAAATTGTATTGTGTATACAGTATAACAGCTTTATTATTGACTATCTGCTACCCTGTTTTCTAGATATCAGCCATTAAAAAACCCATACGATAGTGACTATCTGTTTAGTTGAAACCCACACCACAACCTGCTGCAAACATGAAACTACTCTCCAGTATGAGCCAGCAAGTTCTGACGCTCAGAAATGCTTTGACTGTGAAGATTAACTTGTGTGGCATCACACTGACTTTAGTTTATTTACTCCCAGCCCCATATTAATAATTACATGAGTAAATACATGCGCACACTAAAGGCCCACTGTGCTGCATTTCATATTCCCATTCATCTTTGATTCCCAGCGCTGCGACAGCTGAAACTCCAGTTGGCCGATTTCATAAGCTTGTTTGGGGAGGGAAACTTCAGCTGAAACGCTGTACGTGTCGAATCCGAGCGCAGCGCTGCACTGGAGCTCTTCAGATGCGCATGCATGCCATCATAACGCTCCTGTCAATCACTGTCAGATTTAATCATCTCATGCACATGTCATCCATCTGCTTTAATTTAACCTAAATGACACTTAAACACTGAAAAACGGTCTTGTTTTCAAGTTAAAATATTGTTTAAATGTTATTGTTAATTTTATTATCCTACTGGCATATTGTTTTTTCTTGTTTTAAATATAGATCTAAGATTTAATCTAAGGTTTAATTATGTCATGCACGTCATAAATCTTCTTTAATTCAAATTTAATGGCACTTAAACACCGGGAAAAGAGTGTTTTTGTCTTGTTTTTAAGGTAAAATATCCGAACTCCCTTAAAACAATATACATTTAATCAAAATTATCTTAAACGTTATTGACCTTTATTTTTATTACACTATTTGCATATTGTTTTTTTCTTGTTATTTAAGTTTTACACGTTTTATTTTGCTTTTCAATAAATATAATTTATTGATTTTTATTTATAATTAATTTTTTAAGGTATGTTAACATTATTCTAATGGGAAACATAAGACAAAATTAATAAAATAATTCGTTTTTTTTGGTTCTTTGTTTGTTTTTCAGCTGCGGTTGCATGGCATCGAAACGCTCCCGTCAGTTTTAATTATGTCCTGCACGTGTCATCCATCCACTTTAATTCAAAAATAAATGACACTTAAATACCGCAAAAAAGAAGTTTTACACAAATTTAGTGGGAAAATAAGACAAAATGATTAAGATGTGTTTGCAGTGAAGAGAAAATACTTGCGGTAAATTATAAGGCTTTAATGTACAGCAGACCAGCAAACCTTAAATTATGACTCCCAACGAACTGAAAGCAGCTTTTAGGAGGAAAGAGGAGGATCGGGCGAACGTCCCGGTGTGGACGTGTGGAAAGATGGGAAGTAGGAGGATCTGAGCTGGCTTTAATCATATCCTGTAACCTGAGATTGACAGCTGCTCTCAGAGCCCAAATGAAGCGTGCCAGGGGTTTCATGCCATTACCTGTGAGCCTGGATACTCATTTCTCCTCCGTGTTTCGTCTCAAACACCTGCTCTTTCAGAGGACTGGATATCAAACTGCGGAAACAGAGAAGAAAATAGTTCAGTAGCCAAAGGGCAACATCATTATATCCCTCCATCGTCATGCTGGCTTCCCATCGACTTCTGCTGCCACAATTAAACTAATCAGAATTAAAACATAAACATATGCTTTTGAATCAGACAGTTTTAGTACCTTTAAGACCTATTTTATCTATTTGACCCATACAAGAGCCTTTTTACAAGCACAAGTCCAATGAAAAAAAAGCCACATGCAAGCATGACCATTCATTTTAACACGTTAAATGCCACTTGGAGACTTCAGTGAACATATCTGGTATAAAATTATGCCACAAAATAATTACTGAATCAGAGTTTTGAATCGACTCTCAGAAACAGAAGTGATTCACCAGTGTGAATTAAATATGCCAACTTTTTGCTATTAGAGAACTCAAATGTATGTTGTTTATAGTCTTATTTACTTTCTAAGTTTGGAGTTTAATGCTGTTATCCTAATGGAGATTTTGATTGTTTTGCCACATAAACACAGCTCTGATTCAGTGTTATTTTTAGTGTTATTTGCTCCTGTTTAATTTAGTTTAATTGAGAGATGCTATTTAAAAAAATAAATAAATAAATAAAATTTGTAAAACTAGTCTAATTTTTCTTTTATTTATTTGACTGACAAACTATTGGCACAAAAGAATTACTGAATCAGAGTCTTGAATCGATTCACTGAAACTGACAGTTTGAACTGATTCTCCAAAATGAATCAAACAAGCCAGTTTGTTGTTACTGAAGAGCTCAAATTAAGTTGTTTCTAGTTTCTTACCATTTTCTTTTAACTCTACAAATGAATGATTGAATCATAGTTTTGATTCACCGAAACAGTTTGAATTGATTCTCTGAAATGAATCAAACATAACAGCTTTTGAAGGGAGAGGTGCTATTAAACATTGTAAAACTAGTCTATTATCACACACTTTTGGGAAAATGAATGGCAAATTAAAAAGTGCCTACAAATCATTCTGTGAAAAAATTTTTTGGAACAAATTATAGCACAAAAGAATCACTGAATTGTAGTTTTGATTCGCTGAAACGGACTGTTTGAATCGATTCTCCAAAACAAATCATGCCAACTTTTTGCTACAGAAGTTCAAATAAAGAGATGCAAAAAACAACATGAAACATGTGAAATTAGTCTAAATGACACACTCTTGGGAAAATGAATGGCCAAATAAAAAGTTTTTAATTTCATTTAAAGGGACAGTTTGTCACGGTGCGTAGGAGGGAAACGAGGAGACGACTTTCAAAACTTGACTTTTAATAAACAAACCAAATGAAAAGGAACACTAACATAGGGAGCGCAGGAGACACACATGGAATGACATTTAAGACTCGACAAGAAAACATGAGGCAGACTACACATTTATGCTAAACTTAACAAGGGACAGACAGGTGTGGGGAATCAACTAATAATGAGACAACGAGAACAGGAAACCAAACCAAATATGGGCATAAGGAAACACGAGGGAGAACTAGAACTTGGAGAACAAAACACAACACAAGCCTGACAAGGTTCACCCAAAAATGATCATTTTGTCATTATTTACTCATCCTTATGTCAGACCAAACCAGTATAATTTTTCTTCTATGGAACATGAAAGAAGATATTTTGAGAAATATCTTGTGTTCATACAATAGAAGTCAAATGTTCGAAACAGTTTGGTTTCCAACATTCTTCAAAATATCTTCTTTTGTGTCCAGAACACAGAAATGTATGAGATGCAAACATGAGTAAATGATGACAGAATTGTAATTTTTTTGAGTAACCGTCCCTTTAAATCACAGGTGTTGCAAGCACTAGTGGTTCTCAGGATAGGGATTGTGTTGATTTTTGTGTCTGCGTCTCTCAGCAGCGCCGGCGGGTGAAAGCAGGGCCGCGTAAACACCCTCACAAGACAACTGAAGCGCTAAACGCCAACAGGAGATTCACCTGAGAGACGTAAACACAGCTGCAGCCAACAATACAGGGCCCACATACATCTGTGAGTGTGTGTGTGTGTGTGTGTGTGTGTGTGTGTGTGTGAACACCCACCTGCATGATCCCAGCTAATCTCTCTCTTCAGGTTCCCGTCGCTCGTTTGCCCCGTTGCCCTTCCTCTCACCCCTCGCTGAAAGAGAATACAGAGCATGTCATTCCAGCTCCGCTTCCTCCGACTGATCTGTTATGAGCTGCATCGCTCATGGCTAAAAATTCCTCCCACCAAATAAAAGCTGCATCGCTGTTCAGGAAAGAAATGCGATGCATTGCCAGAACACAATGTTATTGACTTTAATTCAAAGAAATTAAAAGTGAGTTGTCATTCACTCACCCTCATGTCATTCCACACCTGCATGACTTTATTTCTTCAGCGGAACACAAAATATATTAATATGATTAAATAAACATTAAGTGAAATAAAATAAAGTGTGTGTGTGTGTGTGTGTGTGAACACCCACCTGCATGATCCCAGCTAATCTCTCTCTTCAGGTTCCCGTCGCTCGTTTGCCCCGTTGCCCTTCCTCTCACCCCTCGCTGAAAGAGAATACAGAGCATGTCATTCCAGCTCCGCTTCCTCCGACTGATCTGTTATGAGCTGCATCGCTCATGGCTAAAAATTCCTCCCACCAAATAAAAGCTGCATCGCTGTTCAGGAAAGAAATGCGATGCATTGCCAGAACACAATGTTATTGACTTTAATTCAAAGAAATTAAAAGTGAGTTGTCATTCACTCACCCTCATGTCATTCCACACCTGCATGACTTTATTTCTTCAGCGGAACACAAAATATATTAATATGATTAAATAAACATTAAGTGAAATAAAATAAAAATTAAATTAAATAAAAAATTAAATAGAAATTTAGGGCAACATTTTCATGTTGTTCAACTTGTTGTATACTTCACTAACTAAAATTAAAACTAAATTAAAAATGACTATACAAACTATATAGACATATAGATTTTTTTTTACTTCGAAATAATTTGAACTCATAAATTGCTAGTAATTTTAAAAAAAAGACTGAAATAGTATTTTCTTGTAAAACATACTCCAGTAATATTTGTTTTACTTCAAAAAACTTTTTTTTTACAGTGCATATAAAAAACAGTAACATTATAAAAAATAACAAAATTACTAAAACTGTAACTAAAAATGAAACTGAAAATGGAAAATGCAAAGATAAAAACTAATTCAAAATATTTAATTAAAATGATAATAGTATCTCACACTGGTCATGTTACAAATTCAACAACTGGAAATAATATCCATTTTAACAGATTTTCTAATTCACAGATGCTGCATAGAGCAACAGAAGTGTTAAAGATGCATTAAATATGTTAAAGACGCAACAGCAAACACAATTCAAAAGCCTGTGTTTTCAGATTCAGACCACAAAATAATCATTTAAACATCATGCATTTTTGTACACACTGAAATAATGATGAATAAATGTGTCCACCTTGGCCCTCGGTGTCCCCTCAAACTACACATATGCTTACACACACACACACAGACACACACACACACACACACACACACACACACACACAGTCACACACACTTGGCTTTGGGAACTTGTGAGGGATTATTAACATCAAAGTCAATAGAAATGTCAGCCTGGCTATCTTTGGAAATGCCAGAAGCCCTTTGCATATCCCCTCCACATCAACACACACACACACCTGCCCCCAGCAGCGAGGCCTGATTATTGTCGCTCACTTAAAGGTGACGCTGCTCTGCTGAAGGCCATGACGTCACGCCGCTGGTCTCATATACAGTATCTGTGGGCTTCACCCACGAGCCATAGCAATTACATTAACAGGATTATGCAAAACTGCTTTCCTGCGTTGGTGTGTTTTTTATATGGTGACATATTTACACTGGATCAGATCTGCAGGGCTGCTTGAGTTTGATCCCTCTGAGATGCTCATGATAACCCAGTCTAGAGCTTCTTTAATAGTTCTTTGGAACACATTAAGAAACACACAAGAAAAAACATTAAACCAGTTTGTCATTATTTGCTCACCCTCATGCCGCTCCAGACCTGACTGCTGTAAGGAGAATTTTTAGAGAAAAAGTTATAAATAATAATAATAATAAAATAATAATAATAATAAAAAATATAAATTAATTAATCTTAAATCAAGAGATCTAACTAATTAACTAACATTATTCAAATAAACAAAAAATACAAATTATTAAAATAAATAAATAAATAATAAAAAAAAAGGATTAAAAACCAACATATAAGTCCATATTAAATAAATAAATAAACTAAAATTAATAAAACGATTTTAATGATTGGTTAGCTGGGCCACTGTGTGCTGTGATTGGTTAGCTGGGCGAGTGTGTGTGCTGTGATTGGTTAGCTGGGCCAGTGTGTGTTGTGATTGGTTAGCTGGGCCAGAGTGTGTTGTGTGCGTTGTAGTCCAAACGAGTCGTTCGTTGTAGTTTTTGAAAAGTGATTTCTGTTAAATAAAATATCTCCTTTTGAAGTGGTCTTTGAGCTTTGTAACTTTGCAGATCTTTTTTTATGCTCAAACAGCAACATTACAGACTAACTAAAGTTGAAAAAGTGAAAAAGCATAATAGGACCCCTTTAAGAGACTGTAGTTGACCTTTGACCTTCACCCTCCCCCTGTGCACTAGATAGGAAGCGAGAGGCGAGCTCAGATCAGGACAGCCCCGGGCTCTACCTGTTCCTGTCGAGGGCGGAACCTGGATCTGTGTTTGCCAAACAGGACACACAGAGAGTCTGGCAAGCACACACAAGCATCTTGCTGGAACCCGAGTCTCTTCCTCCGAGCTGCGCTTGCTGTTTTTAATTAAAGGATTTTTATTTTAATTCTGTCTTGGATCAGATCTCAGTTGCGTTTTCCAAATCCAGGCGGTATTTTGTTCTCACAGAACGCCAGAGCGCTGCCTGATTGTAGAAACAGGCTTTCAACTGGATTATTTTAGGTTTTGGCAATTTTTCATCGGTATATATGTGTGTTTGTGTGCAGTGTTGGGGAAGATATTTTTAAACCAGAGCTTTGCGAGCTACAAACTAATCATAAATCGTTTGGAAAAAATAGTTCACTACCAGAGTAACTAAAAGTAGAAACACTACAAGTTTTCAGTCAGTGCAGCTTTCCAGCAACTGTAGTAGAAACACACTTTTCTAGAAAGTCAAATAGTCTTGGGAAATCTGATTAATTTTACTCATTCAGTTCATTCAGACAGTTCATTGTAATACATTGGTTGAAAGAAAATGATTAAATTAAGAGAAAAACAGTGTAAAAATATAAATAAATAAATAAAAAGATCCAAACTTAACTAAATACATAAATAAATGATTAAAATAAACAAATATGTATGATTAAAATAAATGTTAAAAATGATTAAAATAAATGTTAAAATTTGTGAGTGTGTGTGTGCGTGTGTGCGTGTGAGCGTGTGAGAGTGTGTGTTTGTGTGAGTGTTTGTGTGAGTGTTTGTGTGTGTGTGTGTGTGTGTGTGACCATGGTTTTACCATAACGTCTTGCAAATGTGATAACGTGTTTTTAAACATACCATGGTATTACAATGATTTTTGTACATGTACCATGGTAATACTGTGGGGGTTATTTGCATGCTGTACAATACTATACCATTGTAGTAATTTGAAGGTTTGCTTAGACATAGTACCATGATAATACCGTGGTGGTTTTAGGACAATATCATCACTTACAATAAAGTACCATGATACAACCATGATTTTTTTAGACATTGCACTATTGTACTAACACTACTATTTGAGAAATGTACCATGGTAGAATCATGGTAAATTTGAGTACCCAGAAAAGCGCTATATAAATGTAACTAATTATTATTATTATTATTATATAAAATAATTAATATATAACAGTAAAGTACTGTAGTGAATAGGTAAAAATAATTTAACATAATAGAAATTAAACAATTTCTAAAAACTATTGCATATTTAAACTCTTTTCGATTTGTTTGTTTGGTAGCAAAATAAATATTTAGCTAAATACTGCTTCTTTACTTAAATATGATGCTTTTTGCCCACATTATAGTGTAGTTATGGCTTGCATTGATGAACTATATTGTTAATCAGTTCATTTACATGATCTGACACAATCAAATGCATTGACTTCCCAACAGAGAAAGAATGTCAAGAAAACATGTCTTGAATGTGATTTACTTGGCTGCTTGCGCAATACAATTATATGATTTTTTTTCTTTCCAATCCAGTTAAAACTGCAGCAAAACCCGATCCACAGCTGATTCTTTTTTCACGACAAACACATAAAAAACGTAATTATGACTTTTCAGTTCAGACTTTTTTCTCACAAACTTTTTTTTTTTCTTGCAAAAATATGCAAAATAGCAATATATAAATGGAGAATCGCAAGATATAAACAGGTGCCAGATATAAACTCAGAATTTTGATATAAATACAAAATTGCAAGATCTAATCACAAAATTGCTAGATGCAAATGCAAAATTTCAAGATATAAATTCAAAATTTCAAGATATAAATTCAAAATTGAGATATAAATGCAGAATTTCAAGATATAAACTCAAAATTGAGATATAAATGCAAAATTGAGATATAAATGCAGAATTGAAATATAAATGCAAAAGTGTGTGATATAAATGCATAATTGAGATATAAACACAAAATTGCGAGATATAAATGCAAAATTGTGAAATAAAAAAATGCAGAATTGAGATATAAATGCTAAATTGCAAGATATAAAAGAAGAATTAAGATATAAACACAAAATTGTGAGATTTAAACAGAATTTTGAGATATAAACGAATTATGAGACAAACTAAGAATTGTGGGACATAAACTCAGAATTGCAAGAAATAAACGCAAAATAGTGAGATTTAAACACAGAATTGAGATATAAATGCAAAACTGCAAGTTATGAACTCAGAATTGCGATATATAAACACAGATTAAGATATAAACTCAAAATTGTGAGAAAAAAATTGCAATTATCTTTTTTCTTTTTTCATTCTGTGGCAGAAAACAAGCTTCTCTAGAAATCTATAGATTGGGCTGCGGGTCGATGTTTGCACTGAACTGGTTTGGTGGGGCATTATGCTAGGTTAGTATCACTAAGCTGATGGTTTA